ACGGCTCACGAAGATACACACGTTGGTGGATTCGAATCAAAAGAGGCTATGAAGGTTATCTTTATTGAGTGGGACAAGGAGTCATATCTTTCTTGAATTTTATTTTAATGGTTCCTTTTGTAATATGTTTACTCTTGTCATGCAAATAAGATGTGATGTGAGAAAACAATGCAACAAATTATGAGGACTCTCCGAGGTTATCCCTTTCTTGGTAGGTGTGACCAATACCCCCACCACTAGAAAGGTTTCAACAACGGGGTCTCTATTGCTCTATCCATTTAGGTCACACCCAATTCGACATATATGGAAATTTGGTATTTGCCTGACTGGGTTATGGTGGAAAATATCATGTGTTTGTCGCATCCCAATGGTGGCGGGAGTTCAACCCTTAATCTTGAGCTTGAAGTGCCCCAAGTAGAAGGATCGTTCGTTAAACGTTGTCGGCTACTTGTGTGGAACATAATGAGACCTAAAAATGCATGAGGTTCTGCATCAACTCGAGTTAGATTACCTCCTACACTTTTGGCTTGCTCGGGTTTGAGGAAGGTTAGGTACTTCAAGGTCTTTATCTCTGAAGAAGATTATTCTTACTTCTTCAAAATAGTTTAGGATTCCCGTCAAGAGAAATTATCATATTTAGATTACTATTTAGATTAGGCGTTAACCATCTTGTTCTTTGGTGCTGCTGGTGGAGAAAAGTCTTCTTGTCCGACTGTGTCTAGAGGAAGAAAAAGGTACTTCATAAGCGTGTCAGCATTGTCACCGTCGAGCGAGATTGATACCTAGAGAACCTTCAAAAAGGAAAAAGAGCTTAAAGCATCTTTGAGAATCTCGTCTTGGCCAAGGAGTATGTGAAATCGGTAGAGGAAAGTTACTTCATTGCACAAGATTCCTTTTAAAATGTTTTCAGCATGTGGACTATTTCTATCCCCCAGTGCGTATTTCACGAGAGTAAGTCAATCTCAGTTAAATGATGAAAAATGGAAAGTCAGTCTCCCTCAAGGATTAGTTGGATGAGCAGTCATCTTTTTTTTTTTTGAATTGATGAAGTAATGTCCTACTGCGATGATTTTGTGTTTTCAATGTGCGGAGAAAGGGATGACCTGCAAGGTTAGCACTCCAACACCCAAATCATTGTGAGGATGAAAAGTAAAGTGTGAATGAGAATGAATTTGAATACATAGTGTGAGCAGTTAGAATTGTTAGCGTGATATGAGGCAAATTGTGCGAGTGATCATTGGATCCAATCAGATGGTGATCGATGTGTTTGGGGTGAAATCATTTTCCTTTGTTGGAATGAAAGACCACATACTCTATGCGTTCATTTGATGAATGTCTCTCTTGGACTTTCATTTAAGACCTTGTAAACGACTTAGAACATGTACAAATTTAATATTTTAAAATTATAAGATTAAAATCTAATACATGATTTAATATCATAAAAATTATATAAAAAATATTAGTTAGGTCGGTTTTATATTTTCTATTTGAAAATTCTTAAAACCTAAAATTAGTTTCTATTTTATGTTTTGAAATTTTTATAAATTAAAATTTTCAAGTTTAAGTTATAAAATTTTCGATCATAAAAATAAATGTTTAGTTTAAGTTATAAAACTTTCAATCATATAAATAAATGTTTATGATAATTCATATTATTAAATTTGTAAAATAATTTAAATATTAAAAATATACAATGTATTTTTTAATAATAATTTTAATAATAGTGATTAAAAATTATGGTTATTCGAAAATACAAGTTGAAGTGGTAATAATTGTGGTGGTAGTTGATGGTGATGGCAAATGGTAATTTAGATGAGTTGGAGTGGTATTTGGTGGTTGAAAATTGCCAACATGGTGGTTGATGGTAGTCATAATCATAGTTTGTAGTGAAAACTATGGTCAGTCGGATCATAGATTACAAATAGATAAAATATGAGAAATGCTAATCAGTGCCCTCAGGACACTTTTTAAAATTTTAAATAGTAAGTTTTTATAAAAGTGTGTGTAATAATGTACATTGGAAATTGAAGTGTTTGAATTTTTTAAAGAATAATTTCTTAATATGGAATATTTAAATAGTGCCCTGAGGGCACTGGTTAGCAAGACCCATAAAATATTGATAGAAGGTGATTGAAGATAATCGAAGCAGTAATTAACACATGTCAGTGATTATAATGGTGATCGTAGATTAAAACAATGATAAAATAGTGGTTGGAGTCATGATCGGTGATCTAAGATGATTATAATGGTGAGCAATCATTAATCTTAGTTTTAACATAAAAAACATTGAATTTGAATATGAAAACTATTTTAAAATTAAATAAAATATCACAACAACTACAATTTTACCCAACATGTTTCAATTTTGAAATTTTCCATGTAAAGATATAAATGTATAATGAGTAACTTCAATAGATTAGAATTTTTATCTAAATACTCCACTTTTAAAAAAAAATCTAAAAAAAACTCAAGATTATTTTCTAAAGTACTTCAATTTAAGAAAAAATTAAATGTTGTCTCCATATCAATTGACAACAGGGTTGTAGGTTTAAGAGGTGTCGTCATGGTGTCTCCAATCCAATTGGAGACAATGTGTTAAATTTGAATATTGTCGTCAATTCATTTGGAGACAAGGTGTATGCATAAAATTTTAAGCAAAAATAATTAACATTAATAATTAATTAAAAAATAATATTACATAAATTAATGATGACGATCGGGTTGATCATACCGTCCACCGGTTCCACATTTCATAGGTACCTTCACTCGTTGCCCTCATTGTTGATTCACTCCAGGTGTTTGATAATTTGAGACCTCAAGAACATCAGCATGATCCCTAAGAAGTTCTTGCATTTCTAAGAAGTCTTGTGTATGGAGCGACGACACATTGTCGTAACTGAGTTTGCAATCCATGTCAGAGTAGTCGTGATGTGATGAAGAGGACATTGATGTGCAGCCTGAACGATTGAAGGGGGACATTAGTGTGAAAGATTCATTGGTGAAAGATTGAAATGGTAGTGGTGTTTGAAAGCCATAGGATTGTTGTGATGTTTGTGTTTGTCGGATATTGTGTGATCTTTGTGTGTGTCGACTATGATTTGATGTTTAAGTATTTTGTCTATGGTACGATGTTTGAGCGTTTTGGCTATAGTACGATACTTGAGCGTTTTGCCTATATCTTGATGTTGTGTTTGGGGAATATGCATTTTAGGCGTCTTGATAATAGTCAATTTGTTGGAGATGATATGAGGGACACTCTTGGTATTGTGGTTGGGTGTCTGACATGTTTGTATTGTGGGTTTGTGTGTTTGTGGGTCGGTAACTCGCACCCTTGTCATTCTTGGCATTCTTAACTCGAACCTACCTAGGCAGTGCATCAAGTCTCTCAATACTTCGAATTTTTTCGCCTTCAGGTATGTCTTCGTCTAACCAACGATTCAGTTCCCTCTGTAGTTGCTTGAAACTTTGGATGTTCTAGAAGAGCATCTCCATCAGAGACTTCTCTCTCTCTCTCTCTCTCTCTCTCTCTCTCTCTCTCTCTCTCTCTCTCTCTCTCTCTCTCTCTCTCTCTCTCTCTCTCTCTCTCTCTCTCTCTCTCTCTCTCTCTCTCTCTCTCTCTCGAATAAATCACTTCTTCGCAGCGGCGACGATACATGTTATCACTAATACAAGAATATGAGAAGAGATGTCTCCAAATGAATTGGCGACACCATTCAAATTTAACACACTGTCTCCAATTAGATTGGAGACACCATGTGGTGTCTCTAATCTAATTGGCGACACCTCTTTATCCTACAATGCAATCGACAATTCATATGGAGACAACACTCTATGACTTCAAAAGTGAAATATTTTAAAAAATAAATTAAAAAATGGGTTATTTTAAGACTTTTTTTTGAAAAAATGAAATATTTGGGTAAAAAAATTCAATAAATTATTAGAATAACAATTTCTTTTATTTACTAAATACTCATTTTAGATAATCAAAAATCAAGATTAAATCACTTAAATTGCGAGTCTCTTCGTAAACCCACAAAATTTGACCAATAAGTTATGATAGTTAAGAATTTCAATAAACCTTATTTTTGGAGGGTTTAAAATTGAATAAATTTTCATATGGACAGGAATCTTTTCAACAAATACTTGCAATCAATCTATAAAATAAAAAGTAATTTAAAATAAACTCCTCAAGCAAAACAATAGAGTTGAGAAAATTGTTAAATATAGGCAGTATTTGGAAATTCTGGATTAATCGCAATTTAAATATGAAAAAACAAATAAATATCTTATTTAACTAGAAATTAATTAAAACAAATATTTAATGAGATTCTATTTAATCAAATCTGACAAATTTGAACTATATGCTATCGTCCGTGCTTTCAAAGTCAGCGCGGGAAAACATTCTCTCACTAAATCTAACATTTCTCACACGTAGTACCGTTCAATTACTGTAGGGGATTAAAAAAAAATTTCTATCATTCAAATAGATTCTCCACCATATTGTTTATGTTTGAAGGTCCAATATACTTTAAAATTTGTGATTTGAGTGGAAATAAAATATTACTACTAATAAATCAATTGATGGCACAACAAATTGTTTCCTTGAAAATACTAACAGATTAAACTTCACCAAAAAGCACCACATGATCAGAGGAAATTTAATAAAAATCACAAAGATCATCCAAAAACAGCCAAAAACAGAACAGCAAATATGACACAGTCTATGTAGAATGATATCACAGTTACTAAAAAATTGGTGGGAAAAACATAGTATAAAGGCAGTTTGTGTGCATTCAGCAACTTAACACCAAAAAAATTACTTTTCTATGTCGATTATATATTTTCCAGGAATTATACAAGCTACATAGGATCAAAACTTCTACTTGCACATACAAAGCTCTCTCCAAATTAAAGTTTGGTGAAAAATGGAGGCAGATTTCCGCCAAGGGGACAAAAATAAAGTAACGAAATTAGACAAACTGTTCGCACACGGTTCCAACTTAATTTTCCTGAAACTGATGACCGCACCGGGTGCATGTGTAGAAAGTAGTTTGACCTTCGTCCGCTGATCTCATCTGAAATTAGTAAGATTTATATACATAAAAATGTAGTACTAAATAAGTTCCAAATTAAGTTGGCAATGCTTCATTATGAAGTCTAGTAATACCTGTCTGGTATAAAAGGCAGCCTCACCATGACCACATTTTTCACATGTCTTGTTAACCTGTATAGAAACATAACATTAAAATCTGTAAACATCTGCTTAAAAATCATGCCATTAAATATATATTGCAGGATGCATTACCTTAGACAATTGCACTGTCTGTTCTTCGAGTAGATCAATTCCAAGTTCTCTTCTGATATCCTGCCAACCACAAATTACACAAAGTTCATTTGTCAATAATCAATAATATGTGAATTACATGCTTAAAATCGCATCACAAATTTTTCTATTGGTTCAACCTTATGAAAACATTATAATTTATTTGAAAACAATTTTATATGATATCTGTGTTGTAGAAATAACTTATATATATATATAGTCACTTATATGATTTTATGTTATCTTACTTAAAATGTTTATTTAAATAGAGTCTAAATTGGTATCTGCTATGTTAAACCTTTTGGTTTGACCAATTTAGTCTTGGGATCGTTTTAGAAAACATTGTGATGGATTATTTTCAATTCTAGAGATCACCTTCATAGATTCTAAATTGACCTTTTCTATAATTTCGAAAACTAAAGTAGTGATTCATTCCTTAATTTGTTATCTATAAATCTCAATAGCAATTGAGCAGAACTTAAACTGATTTCAGAGGTGGTTGAACTTGTGAGTGTGCGTTGGTTCGAAATCTGGGGCTTGATCAGCACCAGCATGCTATCTCCACAGACTTTGTACGGAGCATATCTTGTATTTAAGCCAAGTGGTTATGGAACCTATGGGTTTGAATTTCAGCCAGTGGAAGCTTCCATTGTCATTGCTGGAGGTGATCATGTCTAGCAAAATGTATTCTTAGATGTAGAAAGAGGAAGAAGGCTAAGATACCAGATTGTTCCTCACCATTTCCGTTTTGGGATATTCAGTCTAGCACACAGTTTTGTGGAAGCACCAATAGTACCCACAGAGAGTGTTAGAAATTCGGTTCGGCCTAACTCATCATTACAAAACCGGCTTGTAAGACGAGGGATATCACTCTATATAAATCTTTTGTAGGCTCTATCTTTAACCAATATGTACTTGGGTTTCTCCCAAAAATGATCTGCAGAAGTACCCGAAGGATAGAGCAGATGGGTGGTTACATGGGTCGTTGGAGATGTAATTGGGAGAGTTCTTCAACAAAGGAGGAGATGATAAGGAAGTGGAGGTAGGAGTGTATGAGGTAAAGGGTGGTGATTGGAAGGGTGGTATTGTTGTTCAAGGAATTGAAATAAGGCCTAAGCCTAAATCATGTTGAATGAATGTCTAAACCAAATTAAGAACATGTTTGGATTCGAATCTAGTTGCCTTCACTGCTGGTGAAAAGACTCTACACAACTAGTAGCTTTGATTATTCAAACACAAACTTTGGTTATTGTTATCTCAATGTTTATGATTTTTGTGCTGGGATATGTTCCTGTATTATGTATATGTCATAATCATCTTCATGTTAATGCAGACATATTCATATAGATATTAATGTTAAGAGAATGTTTCATCAAATATCAACTTCAACACCCACTCTCACGCCTAGCGTGAGCCTGAGTCAAATGCTCACATTGCAGTCCTTAACCCGGCTATGATACCATGTTAAATATGCTTGGATCTCAACCCCAAAAATTAACTCAAAGGGTGAGGTTGCTCTAACGTATTTATACAATCAACAGACCCTGGTATGACATCTATGTCTAGGTCAGTTGGATCAAATATGAATGATTCATCAACAGAATAAACTAAAACTCCCTCAGTACTCGCTGCAACAAAACTCCTACCAGTAGGTGCAATTCCACGGCATTTTGCTTGAATAATAGGTCTTCTGTGGTTAGCTACCGATCCTGGCAAATCTAGTCCTAATTTCCAACGTGTTTGTCTTTCAACACCTTCAATGTCACTGTTATAATCATCAATCAAATCTAGAGAGCCAGCTTCGGTCATATTCTGAGTTTAAAAAGTCAAGCACACCATCTAATGAAAGATTATGAATTATCAGGAAGCATCGCAGCAAAACCAGATCGGCAACATCATACATGCAGACATATCTACTACTTCCCCCAGCTAATATGTAGCTTCCCTCAGCTGAATAACACAAGGTTGTGAAGCACTTCCCTGTACTTGACTTAGCGGATGTTCTACGGTCAGTCATAAGACGACCTCCAGCAAATATCTCTAGAACCTTCAATTGAATACATCAGTACACCATCTAATGTATCCCAAAAATGAATTTGTCCATCCAATGTACTGCAAGCTAGCTGTCTTCCATCTGGATGATAAGCTATTGTCAGAACATCATGTGTGAGGCCATGTTTCAACTGCTCCTTTCCCCGTCAAAAACATTCCACAACCGAACAGTCTTATCCCATGATGACGAAGCCAAAACAGCATTTGTATGAGAAAATACTAGCCCGTGAACAGGAGCTTCGTGACCACTAAGCACGTAACGAACGGCCAGTTCTCATCGACCAAACAAAAATCTCAAACGAATATGAAGTGCCTAAACTGTCCTGAAGGAGTGGAAAATATCCTAAAATTCCGATAACGTATTAAATCCAATGCACGAACAGTCCCATCAAGAGATGCACTAAGCAGGCAATTGTTATTTGCCATAAAATGCAGAGCTGTGACAGCATTAGTGTGCTCAGAAAACGGAACAAAGCAAAAGCCTGGGGAAACAGTCCAAACCTTCACTTTATTATCATCTGCTCCGGTAGCAAGGAGTTGAACATCAAAGTAATGACCCTGCTGCTTCAAAATATAACTCTCAGACCGCCACTCCCACACAAGGAGCTGACCCAGTTTGGTACAGCCAAAGGACAACCAATTTCCATGGTCATTAAACAAAGCAGTGGTGACCTTCTCTTTTGATATGGACAGCAAATGAATGCACACGAAATCTGGCATCTGATACAACGCAAACAGACCATTAGAAAATCCAGCAACCACTATGTCTAACCCTCTATGATAATCGCAAGCTGAAATCTTCGCTGGCACCTGACTAAAACAATACTTCCTCAACAGTTCCCATTTAGCTCCACATAAGTACCCACCCTCATCCTCAGTTTCATGTTCCTTCCTCTTCTTCACAACACCATCATCTCCAACCTTCAATTCCCCTTCCAATTCCCTATTCAGTGTCCCTGGCAATGGAGGCGCTGGGGATTCCTCGTTGCCAGTAAAATTCCAGCTTAACAAATAACAATCTCTAGTAACCATATAAACCATAGAAACCTTATTAGTTTTATGATCAACACTGAAAAATGAACCTACAACTGAATCCCTATGACCTAAAGAATAAAAGGTTTATACTTAGCACCGCCACTAAGTTTCTTCAAACACAAGATTCTCGCAGTGAGGTCCTTGCACGCTACAGGCAAGTATTTGTAATCAGGGCTCCAATCAAAAGCAGTGATTTTCGCATGGAAATCAGCAAAAGTTTTAACCAATTCAAAGGGGAAATACTACTTGTGGAAGGCAGGGGATCACCAGATCTGAAGAAGTTTTCCAGCAGCAGCAACAGCAATGAGTCCTCTATCAGGGGAAAATTTAACAGCACCAATGCGGTGTTTGAAGGTGATACGGTGGAGTAAGGCGCGGCAGCGGAGATTGATGACTAAGCAACGGTTGTTGTGGTCAATAGCGATGAGGAAGGTGCCATCAGGGAAGACAGCTATGCAGGAGATATTGGAGGAGGCTTGACTGGGGAGTGCTGTTGTTTCGGATTTGCGGAGGTTGGTGACGGAGACCCTGTTACTGACAGGGGATAATAGAAGGGTGTTGTTGGAGATGACGGTGTTGCCTCCTCTGTAAGGAGCTCTGAGAAGGTTCTAATGAGTTGCCACTATTATAGACTTGAAGAAATTCAATGACTTTTCTAAGGGACATAGATCATGCTTAGAATATTTATTTTCAAATGCTGAGTTACTGACCAGGAGATTTTCCTGTAGGATTTTCAACAGGTTTTTCAGGTTATTTTTAGAGCTTTTACTTCTGTTAACTACATAACTAAAAGAACATAGCTAGGACCAAAGGAAGCTCCAATCAGTAGTGTCAAAATTATCTAACATTTTTATCATCCAAATATTATTAGCCTTAGATGCAATGAAACACACAACCAGACATCTACCAGCCTTCAATAAAATCCTCTTTGTTGCTAAGAAATGATTTAGAGGGCATAATGAATGAGCAAGCAGTACTTTAGTTATAACACTCATCGGCTCATGGAGGAGGAAGCTTGAACAGAAAGTGAGCAGGAGAACTAAGTGTAAGACTCTCGCACAACTGTAGAATTAAACTGGGACCCAATGCGCACATGCAATTACACCCTATGTTATCAATCTCGGATAGCGGTGCGATGCGAGGAGTAGAACGGTCGACGTTTTAGTGATTCGGACACGAAAACAGTTAATAGTAATGATCATATAATTGTTAAAAACTAAAATAAATTTATCAAAATTCATGAACTATTCATATTCATAAACAAAAGCCATAAGTCTTAAGTAAATCATACTTGCAAATGTCAATAAATTCAATAAAATACCCTTGATATCCTTTAAAATTTAAGGGTAATATTGGCATCGCTCCAAATCCAATCCCATTATCGCAGTCGTTCCAGCCGACTCACCCATAACGGTTGGAACAGCACAGTTTGATGCGATTTTCTTGGTTTTGTTATTCTGTGTCGAGATTTCCGGTTGAGTTTAATAACATAGATTATACCCTCTACTCAAACACCTAGACCTAGCCACTAACTGTAGAAACTATAAGCCTAATTGATAGAACATAGAGATATAATCATATGTTAGGAATAAGCAGATGGAAATAACATGTTTAAACTGATGAATAAAAACAAGATCCGCAAAAGCATACCTCGGCAGAAATCGTGTAACTTATTTCCTTTCCTTTAATATCTGAAAACGACAAAGACTTTCATTTAGTACTCATTAACAACATATGAGTTCACTTGAGCACACTATGCACGCATTAACAACAAAATATGCAAGAACAGTAACAATCTAACAGTCTAACAGACACGCACGCATACACCCAGAAACACCATAAAAATTGTACCTTTTATGTTTCGTTTGGTTTTGCACAAAGGGCATTTTGCGTATTCTGTTGAAGAAACCGCGAGCATTGTCCCGCACAAGTTACAGAACAAGAAATCGCGACCGCGGGAATAAGCCATTGGGTGAGAAAATGGAGCGCTAATGGTAAAAAGTACTGTTTGGCGCTAGGGTTTACTTACAAACAAACAGAGAGATGGTTTCCGGAGAGAAGGATTGCGTTGCCGGAAACGTGGTTGCGCCGCCGCCGGGGGGAGAAGGTGAAGGCAGCGAGCGCCTTTTATGAGAAGTTAGTTTAGTCCTAAGAGATTGATACGAAATTCCAAGCAAAAGAATTAAGTCATTTTGACGAAGCACTTCTTAATATTTTCTTATATGAAGAGTTTGTATCCAAAAAGTAAATTGAGGGAAAAAATTTTAATTTCGCCGTTTTTTTTATTTATTTATAAAATAAATTACAAATAATATTTATAAATTATAAATATCTTTTTTATAAATTATAATTTTACCCTGTCAAATAGAAATGTAGTATATCATAGTATTAACTTAAAATTTACAAGTAACATATTTTTAATTACCTGTTAAAACTGTTTATATAAAATCGGTTTATTTTTTTAAAACTGATTTACAAGTAGATTGATTCAGTTTCAAACCAGTTAAAAATAAATTTTTTTAAGAACCAATTTTAAATTGGTTTCTCTAAAAACCAATTTTTTATTTTCTTTAAAGAAATGAGTTCTAAAACCAATTTTATAAAAAAAACCAATTTTAAAACCAATTTTTTTTTAAAATCAATTTTATTGCAAACTATGAAATAATTGATAAACCATCCGAAACATTTTAGTTTTATACTTTGTATTAAGAAATGAAAATGTTCAAGGACGAGTATTTGACAGTACAGAAAAATTGATTATTACATATATGAAAAATTCATATAGAAAATTAAACATGAATACAGTCAAGTAATAAGACAACAATCATTAAAACAAATATGTTAGTCTAGGATTCCCAAATTCACCAAATTATTATTGCAAAGAAAGTAACTGCAACACCCATGCTGAGAACAACAGTGAACACTGCAAGAGATATTTTCAGACATTTTCAACCTCTGATACTTCATCTGGTCCAAGTTGTACATGTGATATGAATGTCATATCCAGGGATGTGCATGAATAACCATTTAATATGAACCAATCAATTTTTATGGTTATGGTTTATAAACAAAACCTCTTGTTTTAAACCGGTTTAAAACCAATTTTAAATGAATTTTGATTTTAACCAAAATTATTTTATTTAATTTAAATTTAATTTTTTTAAAATTATATCAATTTTTAAATTTAAATGCTTAGATTTTAATATATTTTTTCTTTGAAAATAAATATTAAAAAAATTTAAAAAAATCAAAAAATTAAAAATAAAATTGAAAATAAAAAATTTCAGCAAATTATATGGATTTAAAATAATAACTAATATTTATAATAGATATATTTGTATATTTCAAAACCTCTCTATCTATTGGTGGAGAATTCTATAATATTTATAATTTTTTTTTCATAAAGCTTTAATAAACTTCGAGATTTATAAATGAAAACTATAGTTAAATAACAAGTCAAGTTTTGGTATATTTTCTTGCACGTGCCAAATCAAACTCGATGCACTAATATCTATATAATTAATTACTGAAAGTTCATATAATTAACTGATAAAAGTCCATATAATTTGTGAAGTATTAGTACACCATTTTAGGTAGTTAGAGAATTTGTAAACATTTTTTTTTTCATTTTGAAATACAAAATTTTGAATCTTTTGGTTTAAAATATAAAATTAGTTTATAATGTGTATATGATAAAACATGAAAAGAGACAAAAAAAAATATTAATTTAACAAATAATGAAATTTGGATAACCAATGGATAAACCACATGGAAACCGGTTTATATTTGGATAACAAAATGGATAACCAAATTTATATTTTAGCATTTGGTTTGAATTTTTAAAAGTGGAACAATTTGGATACAAATTTGGTTAACAATAACCGATTTTTTTGCACACCCTTAGTTTGATGTGCTGGGATCAATGAGAGTGATTGATTGACATGTAAGTGCATATCAATTAAATTCTTTTAAAAAATAATATTGATAAAAAATATGAATAAATTATAAATATCTTTTTTAGAAAATAATGTTGATAAAAAATATGAACAAATTAATCATTCATAGATGTCGATGGAATAGTATGGAGAACAAATTGTTGGAAATACACTAAATTTATGGAGAACTTTAAATCAATTTTGATGAACACAAATCAATTTTGATAAAAAAGAATCAATCTTTCTAATTGATTACTCCTCTTGTTTTTTACTTTTTACTCAAGTGAAACAAACAACCTTGATTGCAAGATGATTATGTGGCACAACGATTATTGAAGAAGAAAAGAAAAGATGAATTAGGGAAGAAAGAAAATTAGGATTTTAGAGAAAAGTGGAAGAAGAAGAAATATTTTTGCAGAGTTTCTGTCTGCCTTCTGTAACACCCTAAATTTTGACATTCTCTCCTTATCTTAACTAGCTTATACTTCATTCATTGTGCATATCATAGCATTGACTCTTGAGACATGGGATCAAGTTGTTTATATGGCTTAAGGTTTTCTTTTATTGCAAGCTTATAAGCAGCAAGCATCAAAGGCTTCACCATTTATTTTGTTCAATGATCGAGTACCGAATTATATTTTTCAGTAGATTATTTTGAGTGCAGAAGACAATTCACAGTTTATTTCAGGCATTATACATGTGCAATATCAAATGACAAGTTTCAGAGGTAGAACAAAGCTCAAAACAAGTGGTTACGGGTGATTCTCCAAGTTTCCCTCCTTGTGACGCCAAATCTGAAATTTTGAATGTGGTAATCGATTGTCACAATCTAGGTAATCGATTAACACAAGCGAAATTTTCCTAAACACTTCTCTTTTCAACACTGCAACATTTGGATTGCATTTTGGTCATGTGATTTCCCATGTGCATCAGTAGAAGGATCTAGAATTAGTTCAAAATTTGATTCATTTTCAAATTAACTTCACTTCCCTCCAAAATATTCAAACATTTTCATTCCTAATCTCACTCCTAATTTTTATTCCTAATGCTAACTCACACTCCAAACCACATTTTGATTCATACCTATGGATTACTTAAACAAATTTGTTCCAAACCTCACACATTCACCCTCATTTTTTCTAAATTTTCTACACTTTTCTCAATTCTCTCTCTCACCTTTTCACTATCCACTTTCATCTTCAACCTTCACCAAAACTCTTCCATTATAATTCTCAAATTTTTCATTGGAATATGTGAATTCTAAAGCTAAACCTTAATCATTTCCTCTCATCAACATAAAATTTGTAGTAGAAAGTGATTTGGATCTAGATTCGAGGTTTTGAAGCATTTTCTTGAAGAAACTTTGAAGCAAGTTCATCATATTGCATTGTTCTTAAAGTTTCTTGCTAGGAGTGCATTGAATCTTGGATTTTCTTTGATTGATCTGTTTAATTTTGTTTGCAACACTCACCAAAGTAATTCTCCGCTTGTAGGTTGGTGAACTTCAGATCCAAACTAATTCTAGCTTATTTACAGCTTTTGCAATGCAGACCTTTGGATTGTTGATGTGAATTGATCTATTGTTGAATTTGATTGATGCAATTGGTGTTTGATTATTGATATTTGATGAATTTTTTGTGTATAATTGCATACTTATTCATTTGGATGATTGGATAAGTGATTTGCTGCTGAAAGTGCTTTTGGAAAGTTGAATTTATGACACTGGCACAGTGGTAATTGTTTACCATATATGGGTAATCGATTACCCTGTCCTTTTTTCACGTTTTTCTAAAGTTTTCAAGTGGGTAATTGATTATCCACATATATGTAATCAATTACCACTGTGACAAAATGTGTTTTGCTTGCTTTTTTCAAGCTTGTTTTGATTCCTTTCAACTTTTAAACTTCATGGATTGATATAATGCATATTTGTGGATTGTTCTTGAGCTGTTTCACCTTACACAACAGTATGAGTACGATTCTTTGACACGCGATATTTGGTTTCTGTGATACATGTCCATGATTTATGTGTTTTGCATTCTTGGTGTGATGATTGTGTTGCATAACCATTTGCACAATTGTGATTGCAATGTTCTTGCTGCATAGTATACTTGATACTTGGTACATGCTTGTAGTTGATTCTGATCCCATAAATGCATGATCGTTTGAAGTGAATAATTATTGTTGACTATTCATGTTGTGTTGTTAAACGCTTAAGGTGTAATGTTGCTGCATTTTCTGCATGCTTAATTGATCATCTGTGTTCATTGATTATATGCTTGCTTAGGTGTTAATATGATCATTGCTTGCATTATTGGTTCTTGCTTGTGATGTTTAATTGAAAACATGTTGTTACTTGTTTGTGATTGGCATGGTTGATGATCGCTACATGTTCATGTATTGTTAATTGTTGCATTTTTTATGCATGTTCGTGTTCATGATTTCTTGTTTCATTGTTGAACACACATGTTGCCTGTGCATTTCCATATGCCGTGTTTTGAGTTATGCATGTTGTTAAATGTGCTCATTCTGCCATGCTACATTTCACATCTGTTATGTGCTGAAAATGTGAGCAATTAAATGTTGTTTTGCCTGTATGTTGGAATTTATTGTTGTTCTGAGCTGGAGCGTTGTTGTAGCTGCTGTTTTTGGTTTGTTTTCTTTGTTTTGGCTTGCCTTTGCATATTCCCTTAGGATTCCTTTGCATAGTCCAACTTAATTTTTGATTAAACTTGGAGTATGATAGATATTATGAGATAATCCTTTGCATGATTACATTAGGTTAGGTCCCTTTCAACCTCAACTTTAGGTCCATCTTTCGCATCCTAACCTTAGGGCCATTCTACATGACAACGTTAGGATTGAGTTTCCCCTTAGACCTTTTGTGTGTCTCTTTCTCTTCTCTCTCAAAATAACATCAAAACACTTAATAAATATGACGTGCATTGTGTGTTAGAACACAGATTGGTTCTTAATAATATCTCTATGTTTTGATGATAACTATTATGAAATTTTGTATTTAAGAATTATATAC